AAAAAAGGAGCGGTGGCAGTGACCGTGGAACGGGGAGGAGATGGAGTAGGTGAGTAGGATGCTGAGGAAAAAGCCGTAGTCGGTGTAAGAGAGCGTGTGTGGCGACTCTGTTGCTGGGTGTTCCTCACATGACTACGTAGTTCCGGACTCAGACTCAGATCCTTGTAGCTCACATATCTGCGTAGTTGGGGTGTGGGTAACGATTCTGCTGCAGTAAAGGCTTCGATCGCGAAGGAGACCCTGTCATCTGGGAGCCTTGCTCAGATTCAGATTTCATGGTTTAGGCATCGAAGCATCGACGAGGCGGGCAACTAGGAGGCGTTCAGAAGGTCGCAGGGTTTGGGGCTCTAGAGGTTTGAGGGCTGTAGGGTGTTCTTGTTGTCTTGGCGGATTAGAACTTAGGGTTTACGGTTCCTGCCTTCCCGTCCGGCAAGTTGGAGATTTTTGAGCTTCGCTTGTGGTCGTTGGGAGCCACCCCTTCACCAGTTCTTGAACCTACCACTCAATAACTGCTTTAAACCCTAAACCCTGAGCTCCCTGCGGTGCGACCGAGTCAGCTGGGCGGGTTGGAAAAAAACCTTGAACCCTAAGTGGAGCCTTGCCTGCCTGGTGCGAGTGTGAGAGTCGAAAAACCCAAACCCTAAGCCCTAAAGCAAGATCCTCAAGGCGAGCGTTAGCTCGGTTCAGGCTCGAGGTTTGATGGGAAACAGGAAGAGGGTTGCTGGTCTTTGTCCCTGTGCATCCTCGATGCATCGTCGCTTCTTCTTGCCGGTATACTTTTAAAAAACACATACTGCATATTACAATATATGAAATACGTACTTTATATTGTAATAATTGGTATACTGTATACTTTGTAATCTGATATGATCTGTGTTGTGTGGTTCAGCTTGTTTCACCTTTCTCGGATCTGGGTACTTGGACATGCATGCGATTGCTTGCTATTGCAGTGGTGCCCAACGAGAGTGACCATTAGAGCACATGAACATGAAGTCTTGGAACCCAGCCGTGATAAATCAATCACACCGAACAGTTCATGTTTAGGTGTTGTTTTATGTGTTTGGTTTGCTAAGGTGCTACACACGTCTATGCAAAGGTTTGAGATGCTGACCCTGGCAGCGAGCAGCCTAAGGAAAGAGTTGGAGTCACCCATGTGCCAACATTGGCACAATTCTCCGAGGATTATGTATTCAAGCACACCATCTACGCTCAAGAGTCCTCTAGCTGCAAACCAGTTGAAAAAGTGTGATCCAGACAATTCTGATGGAGTCGCTTGTCCTGCCATCAAGCTACCTTCCACCGAGGTGCCTCATGGCTTATCTTGAGTGCTTGCGACAGCAGCGTCGGAAAGAAGGTAAGCACGACGGCTTCTTGGAACTGAATCGCTTCCTCTGTTGCCAACGACCTGCTCGATTTGTTTGAGCACACCATGGCGAATTTGCCACGCCACTCCGGAACAAAAACCTACGATCTTTTCGAGGGGCCTACTGAAACTGGAAACCGGGGAACAGTGAACCGATTGATGGATCTCTTGTACCGAGAATCCTTTCTGAAGACCTCGAGGTGGGCGTCGATTGATTGTCCCAAAATCCTGGGCTTGCGATGCGTTTGCTGACGTTGTTCCGAGACCGAAAGACTCCCTAAACCCTAAACCCTAAACCAAATGCGGGCTCGTCCTTGCGAAGTGGGAGGGGAAAAAACCCTAAACCCTAAACCCTTTGCAGCTAGCAGACGGAAAAAGGCCCTCAAAAAAACAAAAACCTATGCAGCATCGAGGACAAAATGATGATTGTCCGAGCAGACGAGACTGAGCAAACCATCCTTCGGTACATCTCCCACGAGACTGTTCCGAAGGCACTTGGAGGGACCAAGCATTCGGGCGGAGACTTGGCAAAATATTTGGGGGGACTGGCACTTCTCATGTCGATTCCTCCCTAAACCCTAAACCTCGTCTGGCTTGTCCGAGTTGTGAGAGCGTAAACCCTAAACTGCCTAAAGCCCTGAAGCCTTGAACCAATCGGCGTTTCTTCGCCTCCTTAAGGCGATGATTACTGCAGTGATGTTATCGCACCGGGCGGACCCGTCCCCCAGTGGATCATCAGCCGATACACGACCTGACACTCCAAGCTAGCACGACTTGAGCTGCGGCCCGAGGATGCAGAGACTAGTGAAATATGGACTACGAGTGTTCTCCACTGCTTCTATCGATCACAGAAAGCAAGTCGAGTCAGCAACCTCTGGCGCAGCCCTCCTTTTTCTCTTTAGACAGAGAGTCTTTTCCGCATGAATGGGGAGCTTTGCTCCCGTCCCACCGGCTGCAGCTGTGATATCCCTGGATGATCACATGCAGCACAATACCGCCTCTGAGATATTCCGGATTCGGCCGAATGGAGACGCCTGAGAGAACACTGGCTCTCTTTTGCATAAGGACTTGACCTTGAAGGAGGAGCTTACTATTTAGTCGTTACATAAAGGAGAGCAGGGCTGTGCGTCTTATCAGGGGTCCACATTACTTCCTGGATCCTGGATCGTTTAGGACCGGTTCCAACTGAGTTTAAGCAGCCTGGTTTGCCAGCAAATTTTGCTCCGTCACTCGTTGTATCCTGATCCACGTCACAATCATGAATGTGCATTTTGTGCCTTGATGTTCTGGCATTTCAGTTCAGTTGATTCCTTGTAACCGCAGCCGCGGCTGGATCCACGGGCTGCCGACTTTCGTCCTGTTCACTCCGGGACCTTGAACCATCGCACGAGCCCTCTTGGCACAAGCCAGGGATAGCGACTGCACCAGAAAGCAACATCTGTGTGGGCTTGATGGTGTTCATAACCGAGCCTACCCTTGCTACTGCTACTGGTGCTGCTGCTGCAACTACTGCTACTACGGCTACTGCTGCTGCTGCTGCGACTTCCTGCCACCAAGTACATCACCACCGGACCTGTGAGAACCAGTTTTCTCTTCGTCCTACAACGACTGTTACTGCTAGTGCCAAAGCCTGACACGTGCCAAACAATAATACACTGGCGCGCAAAATAGCCAGGGAGTTGTCGACTGGGGAAATTGATCGGAAGGTTCTGAGAAAAGTACGGATCACAGTCAGTAGTAATTAAACGTGACGTTATCATGTACCGGGGTTGGCCTCATCGGAGGGCCTGATGAGCACGCGCGAGAATAAGCAAGCGCTTACCTGTAGAAGCAGACTGATGTCGGCACAAATGAAGAACCACTATCGGGTTTCAGAGCAGGCCCGTCCTTAAGTTGACAAGGCGGTTTGACTTGTCACACGATGCGAAAAAATGTGACTAAGGAACGATGACCTAGACTTCCCTCTAAAAGGATGAGAGTAAATAATATGAGAATGACACAAATAGCGGTCCCCAAAAGCGTAAGGGAATTCCAAGCCCCTCAAGTGTTTTTGAGGTTTGCTGTTTGAAAGGTTCCCAACAACCATCGAGGCAGAGGGGTGTTGATGCTTGTAACGCTCGTTCAAGTCATGCCGTGATAACATCAGCCAGCAGCAACAACATACATAGTCCTGCGAAAGCACGCACTGCCGGTGCGCATGCTTATCCAGAAGCACCGAGGTCGACCGACCCCCAACCTGAGCCAATGTCTGTCATGCAGGACCACCTCGTTGAGTGCTACAGCGCTGCAAGATTAGAATCACGCCTGGGTCTGCTGCAACTCGGCAAAAGCAGAATGGCCACGGAGCACGGGCACCGCAGTTGCCATGTCGTCTAGTTTGGAGTCGTTGCGGGGATTCGGGTCGCCTTGGAACATCTCGATGTTTTGGGATACCTCCTCATGCTACAATCAAAGTCCATGCCAGCCAAAAGCAGTGACTGGTTTATTATGCTGCTATCGGTACCATGTGAAGTTCATTTGTTCATAAGGCTACTGGTACCATTGTCCTAGCTGCAATCAACCATGCAAACTGTGCTTAGTCGACCAGAGTCTGAGCATGCTATAAGTCGCTAGCAAGAGTACCCGGGCAACAGTAGCAAGTATTCGCACTTGTCAACATGTCTGTGTTTGGTTCTTCGGGCTGAAAGGCAGTCGTCTGGATTGTCAGGGTGGCCCTAGTAAGCCACATAGGCTCCAATTGTAGTCGGACATCGTCGTAGTCATCGTATGCCGGTCAGAGTGCTCAGAACATCCATCGTCGCAGGAACGAAAGGGCGTGGAATCAAAGCAAACACACTTTTGGCCAGACCCCAAAAACCCTCGAAGTGCCAGGATTTGATGTTCCAAAACTAAGTTCCACTCGAAACAGGCAGGGCCATCTTGTGGTGCTTGCGATGCTTCTGGGATGCGACTACACCCTCGGTGTCCACGGTGTGGGTATTGTGAACGGGCGCCTTGGCTGACCGGTCCTTGTGCCGATGTTCTACTGTTATTATTATTATTATTGATATTATTATTCATCTTATTATTATTATTATTACTATTAATATTAATACTATTATTGATATTATTACTACTATTATTTTTTCTAATATTATTATTATTGTTATTATTATTATTCTTACTATTATGATTATTATTACACTGATGGAACTTCCTCCATCTGGGATGTAGTACTTGAGGAAGAGAGTGGTACCGGCAACATGCAAGAAACCAGTATTGATGATTCGACTCGCTGTGTTCCGAGTCCGCTGGCTGGCAGGTTGGAGATTGTTCGCGCCTTCTCCCCCGAAAGAGATGGCATGAGCAGTCTGGAGGCTCGAAGAGACAGTTGGCACGAAACAAGCGTCACACAGATGACGGGGCATTTGTGCGACCAAACACATTCAGGCGAAAGCCTTTCCTCAGGTATGGCTCCAACGCCTCAAAGACTTCCGCTCTTGGTCCCAGAATGTGGCCAACTGGGGTGAGGCACTGACTAAGGGTGAGTTTGAGCCTGTGAGTGCTGCTGCCAAGCGGTTAGTCGGTGTCAGGGATGACTATTAGCTGCTCCGCTACCGCTAGCTGCCGCTAGTTTGGATTGTATTCTGCCTGGCAGGAAAGCGCAGGCATCGTGGACGCGGATGGCAAAGCAGTCGCAGAGCAGGGTGCTTAGGGAGGCTCAGGAATGCCGTGCGAGGAGGAGGAGTGCAGTTACAGCCAATTAGCACGCAAGACTGCTTCCTAAGACAGTCACAAGGGTCTTTGCTACGGCAATCCGCAGTTCCATGAAATCATGATAGCAAGGCTTGGTGCCAACATTCTTGTCTCAGGGGTATTGATGGAATAAAAAGCTTTGGGGTGTGGGACGGTATGGCTGCATCCTGTCATCATTATTGCCCACATGCCTTTAGCCCAGGACTGTTTCTACCAAACCAAGCAAATGCACATCAGAAGTGAAGTTGAAATCGTAGGTAAGCATGTTCCAATGGATCCTTCCAGCCATGGGCGTGTGGAGCAGCCTGCATCAAGATGGGATGGCGAGGCTGGAGCTGACCTTTTGTTACAGTACCATCATCAACAGCATGCTTCCGCCGTTGCTCCCCCTCCTGCTGCTGCTACTACTAACTGCTGCTGCTGCTACTACGACGACGACGACGACTACGACTAATACTACCACTACTACTACTGCTGCTATTGCTGCTGCTGCTGCTGCAATGCTACTACTACTACTACTACTACTACTACTACTGCTACTCCTACTCCTATACTCCTACTGCTACTGCTACTGCTACTGCTACTGCTACTGCTACTGCCACCACCACCACCACCACCGTCGCCGCCGCCACCAGCACCAGCACCGCACCAGCGCCAGCACCAGCACCAGCACCAGCGCCAGCAGCAGCACCACCACCGCCGCCGCAACCACCACCACCACCACCACCACCACCACCACCACCACGACCACCACCACAGACAACCACTACTGACTGCTGCCATATGTACACTACTCTATGGTTCCGCACTACGATGGTTATGATGATGCTGGTGGCGATGTTGATGATGATGATGATGATGCTCATATTTTTTATTGCACCCGCAAGCGATGGACATACGCTGCATCACAGGGTTTATGGCTTGTGGCTGAGGGCCGATAGGGTCTATGAGGTTTAGGGCATGCATGCATGTGAGGTGATGTTACCGAATGTTTTGCCTCACATCGCAGCACCGGTTTTGACATCTTCGGCAGCCCGTTGCAGTGCCACGTTATTATGCCATACCAAGTGCCAACACCATGCCAGTAATTAACTGGCATAAGAATTGCAGATGACCAAGTTGTCGTTCGAATAATAAGATCCCGGAGCTCCAACATATTGGCTGACCCAGCAGAACTCGAAGTTCAGACGACCAGACTTCGTAGCTAGGAGGGAATCGTAGAGACGGTGCCGTATACTTTGACATCAGTCTTGATATGACAGTAGACACAAGATCACGTAAACCATGTCATTATTCCTCGACACTCCCGGGACCCCTTCTCTTTGACCACTTACTCTCGGGCAGGCGGCACTGGATGCCGCTGTGGCAGCCCTTCTTCGCGGCAGTGAAGGAGTGCATGGCCAAAGAGCTTTACAAGTATCACAGGATGACGGGCCCTTCTCAGTTTGGAGGTTGTCAAAGTTTGACGGCTATTCTCTAGGTATCGGGACTGCTGAAGAGCAGATCACACCATGCCTCAGGGATTCTAGGAGTTGGAATTTATAGGAACTTACTTCTGACTAAGGGTTTTTGCAAGGCCACGCCTTCGGCAAGGTCGTGGCGTGCTGGCGGTATGCAGCCAGCAATAGCAGAACAGGAACAGGAGCAGCAGAAACAGCTTCATTTCCTGACATTTACTCGACCCTTAACTGCTAACCCTTGAAGCTTCCGTGGATGAGACAAGTATGGCTGAGTTCTTTGGAAGGTGCAGTCCTTCCGTGCTTTGCGAAGCTGCGCGCTACTCAGCAAGTCATGTGCCTGCGATCCTAAACAACATGAAGAGGCTGAATTGTTCAAGGATTCGAAGCCGCAGCTCCTGTTCTGTCGTTAATAAGGCAACGGAACCCACAGTGACAGCAACAGTACCCGCATAAGGTCTAAAAGGTCCTGATGTTAAAAGTGTAGTTATGAGTCATGAGATATTAGTCATCCAAAATCCTATGCTCCTTTTCAGGCACCAGGATTCAGCCATGTAAAACCCTGCAGACATCAACAGACCCCTTGCGAAGCCCGGCGCCACCCTTAAAACATGGCCGAGAGGACTAAGAGCTCCATTGGCGGAGCTCCGCTTGGTTCAGGCTCCTAGCAGTGCCGATGGTCTCTCAGGTTTTAGGGTTTAAGGGCAGCAGTCGAGTATTTTGTGAAAAAGGGCTTAGACTGATCACATGCATGATTGCATGAAGCCTCTTGACTTGGTACGATCTGCATGATGTTGTGTGCCGGTCCTCTACAGCCATGAGAGCCTGAGGTGCAAACGGGGTAGGTCCGATGCTCCCCCTTGCGTTGTGACGACATGGTCTAGGGTTTAGGGTTTAGGGGTTTAGGGTTTAGGGTTTAGGAATGTGCATGGTTTCTCAACATTGCAAGCATCCAGCATCCTAACAACACTGGGACTTCGGGTGTAGGGCTTGTAGGATTTACCGGGCTGGAGGGACCTTTCAACAGGATCTTGGGTTCATTGAAACTTGCATTGCCTTCAGCCTTCTTTCGGGTATCGCGTCCGGGTTGTTAGGATCGCTTGGGGGTACGGAAGGCGATGGGTCTAACATTGTCCTGGCAGTCTTAGAAGAGTTGCCTAGTGTCATGAGTTGGTTTGGGTGCTTTCTGACATCTGAGAGGCTGCTATCACCGTTTGAAGCAGACTGGCGACTTGCTACATCATATGATCACCAGGGCCGTTGTTGCAAGTTAAACGCATCGCCTCCTCCCACCCTTTGAACTCGCGCCGTGATCATCATCATCGTCATGTGCTTCATTTGCCCAGGCGTCATCCCCATCAACACTAGTGTTGTCGCAACATGTCGATACCCCTGCCAGCAGATTCATCAGCAACAACACAACGTCCAGCTCCGTCTGAGGGGAAGCCAACGTGTCGTGCAGGTCTTCGCAGACCGTCCTGCCATGGCTGTGGGCACACTGGTCGTTTGCAGTTTGCTCATGGGTGATATCTACGCCTCAGTGAGAAGCTAGGCTCAAATGCAGACTTTCCATTCGGATTCAGGGATGACTTGCCAGATTGCAACAAGGCACGGGAGATTCCGACGTGAGAAATTTCAGGAGTAGGCCACGCTTCGATACCAGGAACAGAGACTCGTTCGCAGTGGCAGCGCCGTCGTCGTAGTAACAGGCCCAGAGTTTTTTGACTTGGCTGTGTGGAAGCAGTGCATGCCAAGGCTATGCAGGCCTTTCCTGGACGAGTCCTTACGCCCTGACCTTCAGAGGCACCTTCGCCACTTGGATTCAGAAACCCTAAAGTCGAAACCCTAATAACGGTGCGAGTGTGAGAGCCGAAACCCTAATAACCCTAATAACCCTAAACCCCTAAGCCTAGGATTCCCTTTTCCGAAGGCCCGAACTTGAGGATCCTCTACTTGGAAAGGATCGTGAGATCTTTTTGCTTCGGTGGTACGTTGGGCCCCTCTCCAAGAGCACCTTTTTTTGAACTCGATTGAGACCGTTCATGCTGAAGAAGATTCCCTAAGCGAGAGCGACCTAAAAGAACTGTCTCGTTTGCCCAGGTCTTGGCAGCCATCTCATGGCAGCGACCCTCGGATGATGTTGGAGTCCGGCCAGCGTAAGTTGGGGAATCTGTAGCTCTGCGCACATCTATCGGAGCCCTGGCGTGCTGAGTGTGCGGTGGCGGGGCCGGGTGGGTTCTTGGGTGGCCGAGGTGCCGTAGTTGAAGATCCAGGACGTGTTCCGGAAGACTGGAGGATGAGTTCAAGTGGGCAGCCGATCTTTGCAGCCTGCCCGATCTAAGTACAGCAGCCGCAGCTGCTGCCCTGAATGTAGATATTAACCCGTATGATGCTAAGCCATATACTAAACCATACACGAAGATGTGCAAAGGGCCCTGAGACAAAGCTACATCCAGCCGGAAAGCTTTCTTCGTGGGTCGTCTGAAGGTAAGCCCTGTGCTACAAGCCGCCGATCTGTGTCAACTTCTCCCCAACGTCGGAAACCCAAAGCCCCCCTGAGCCCCAAAACCCGTAGACCCGAGTTTCCGTCGGGCTTAGTCTCCGGGGCGGGTCGCGTCAGCAGGGCCTGGGGCGTGGATGCTGGGTGCTTTCTGGAGCAGGCTATTTCAGTTCTCACACCAGGCTCTACCTACCAGGTATTCCGACCGCGGCAAGGAGGAAAAGGGCCCTCAAAACAAAGAGAGCCTGCTTAAAGCCGATGCAATCTGTGACTCGCCGAAAGCGATGAGAGTCTGGCTGCAATGCGGGCTCGTCCTTGCGAAGTAGGAGGCAAAAAACCCTAAGTGAATGTCTTTCAAGGGTCCCTTCCTATGTGAAACCCTAAACCATAAACCCTAGAAGCTGGCTTATGGCTTGTCATTGCATTCGTCACAGTTTGCCCGAACTACCCTGCAATGCGGGTTCGTCCTTGCTATGTAGGAGGGGAAAAACACCCTAAACCCTAAACCTTTTTCAGCTCAGGGGCTTGAGGGTTTATGGCCCCGTCACTGAGGAGAAGGAGGGAGGCCTCCATTTCCCAAAGAAGCGGACAAGAATCTCGGCTGCCTCCCGTTGTCGTAACCATGACCTTGTTTGTTTGGGGTTTAGGGTTTAGGGATGACCTGGTTTAGAAGTTTAGGGTTTAGGGTGGTGGTGTGAAAGCATGTCTGCAGAAAACGACTCAGTAACTGGGGCGATGAATACGGGAACCCCACGATAGCTTCAATTTTGCATTTCCCCAATAGACTTAATAGAGGCTACTTTTCTAAGCCCTTGGTCTCTTTGTTACTGCGAATTTGTGAGGTCCGGGGCGGCTGCGGTATTTCTGCACGAAGGCGCCAAGAGCTGCACGGGTTTACGGTTTAGGTAAACCATAATCTGGCAGTGCTGCTTCCCAGCTGATCGGCAGAGTCTGGGTTCAAAGCAAGGCAAGATGGTTTGGGCAAGCATTGTGTCCAAATCGCCCATCCGAATTGTGATCATTCCACTCCAAAGATGACCGGCTCTGTCATGCTGCAGCCTTGAACTTCCCCCTAACCCCCTTGTTCTTCCGTGTCGGGGCAGGGCCGAACCGAATAGTCACAATAATAATCATAATAATATTAGTAATCATTATAAGAAAAAGAAGAAGAATAGTCATAATGCTAACAGTTTTTCCTAACAATAAAAATGCCCAGCCAAGAAACAGCACTCTTGATGCATTCCTGTGCCAGGAGGAAAAGTTCCGGCCCGAGCGTGCGCACTTCTGCAGCGTGCTGGATCGGAACGTATTGAGGAGCGGCTATATAGATATACTAGTTATATGTATGTGTCGAGACATGTGTGTATATATATATATATACACATTGGGGAGCGGCTATTTGCTTTAGAGGCTTCAAGTCTTTTTAAATAGGTTTTTTGCTTTCATTACAAGACATTCGCAAGTGTGTGCATGTGCACAGATACAAAGATAGATCAGGACAAGTCTGTCACAAGTCAGACATGGCCGGTGGCGAGATTCCACATTCTGACCCGGATCTTGCTTTGCGAAGGATGGACCACTACTGTGTCTGGCTTGCCAACTGATTCTTGGCTTGCATGGTTGTCATGCAACTACGCACGAAGTTGGATCTGCTTTTATCGAGAAGACGTGCACACGCTGGGAGAAGATGCGTGCACTTTCCACAGGTGCCGCTTGCATAATTAACACTGGAGCCTCGTCGCCTTCTGGACTTGCTAAGGTGTTGGCTACCGCAACCACAAGTATTTCTACCTTGCCTTGTTCTACTCTGCAGTTGCTTCTACCATCGGAAATGCGGTGCCGCACCTAGATGTCGGTTCAGCTCGCCATGTCCACAACAATTCGATTTCTGAAAGCACCGACAATCCGACGCAACCCCTGGAGCCAGGTGCTGGTGCAAGCCTTCCTCCATCCATCCTATCTACCTGTTGTGCACAGGGTGATCCTCTTGCCAGGCGCAAGTGTTCTGCCCAATGCTCCAAGGTTGAGTTGTATCCGTCACTTGGCAACTTCCGTCGCAGAAGCGCCCTTGTAGCCATCTCGGCACTCGCTAGTTTGAGTAAAGCTTCCTGATTCCTCGCAATGGCCGCAGTGATCAGCTGTCTTTGCCCGGGGCCCAAGGCCAGGCGTTGGCTGAGTCTTGAGCTCCGTTACACAGCTCACATCTCACGACGCAGGGGAGGGAGACCCATCATTTTGGCTGAACTACTTGATCGTTACTAGCTGCTGAATGCATGTTCGGTCCACAACTCGGTGACTTCATGAGCCTGCAACCGTGACTGCACGAGGATAAGCAGGTGGCAGATGATTCAGTCGCAGTCACCGGGGTGGCCGCAGCATCTCGAGCAGCAGTGAGCTTTCATTTTTCTTGTGTGGGCGGAACGCGACTCGCCGATTTCGTCGCTGAGTTGAGAATTGTTCAAAGCCACGGGCTGCCTTCAGCCTTGATACGAAAGCATGCACACAACCGCGACACATGGCATTGGTGTATGGTAGATGAGGCCGGCAATGGCACCGTGAAGGTCATCAAGGCCCGAGTGTTTCCGCTGGGAGAAGATGTGTGGCGGCAGAATCGTCAGTCCCTTGCGCCAGGAGCAGAGACTCTTCGCCTCAGAACCCGATCCACAGTGACCCGCATGCAAACAGCGATCGCTGAGAGCCTGCGACGACAGCTGGTAGCCGGTAACCGATCAGTGTTGCAGTCATCAGGCAATATCAGTCTTCAGGACCTCTAAGTCTGCCGTCTCGATCATCGTTGCATGGTTCATCATCCGTCGATCCCTAGCTGAGGTGGTTTGGAAACAAGGGAAATGTTCCACTCGATTCCGCCGAAGGCAAGAAGTGGACGACGCCAGCTGCAGACAGCTGACTCAGTGCAGTCCTGTCCGGATCACGTAATAGATTCATGGTGGGAAACAAGATGCCAGAGGAACGAGAACTGGTTGAAATCGCGCTTCCACTTCAACTTCGCAGAATACCACGGTGGTGCCTTCGGTGCATCACATCTCTAAGCCTCTAAGCCCTTGCTTGTTGCCGTTCTGGCTGCCAAAATCCTCAACTGCCCATCCAAGGCCCATCCAGCTTCGGCGTCTTACGCGTCATGAGTCTGGACAAAGCTTAGGCTTAGGCATGTTGTTGGCGTTCCAATGGACTGGTGGAGGTTCTAGCCTGCTTTGCCTAGGAATGATGACTTGGTGCAACCACGTCGTGGCTTCGGTGCACACCCTCACAGGGACATGGACTCTTGGACTGATAAGCACGAGTCACACGTCAACGTCGTGCACTCGAAACTCGAAACCCTTGCATTTCCACACCCGCCTTGTCAAGCTGAACCTGTTGCGCAAAACTCCCTCGTTGAGGAAATCATTTTTGTTTTGTTTTTTCGAAAAAATTACATTTCCGCTGGAGGAAATCATGACTTTTATTATCGATGGCTTCCTTACGCACAAGGACGGCAGTCCGGGTTGCATCGAATCGACATGATCATTCCGGCGTGCGCTCCTGTCGCTTCCAGGACTCCATGGGGACCGAGGAGACCTTGGGCCGTGGTTCCGTTCAGCTTCCCAGCGCAAGCTTGTTCTTCCCATGACCTCGGTCGGCGCAAGCACGGGGCACTGGGCCACAGTGCGATTGTAGCACTGCAGAGTCTGGAAAGTTAACAGATGCTCACATTCATTGCCTCAACAGTGGCAAGGATTACAGCAGGCAGCAAACAGGCCATAGTTGCCATGATTGTGAAAGGCAGCCCAGTCTACGAACGAACCTTAATTGCATTCTGAGCTCAGGTTCATGACTGCGGGTACAGGGATCCGGCACTCAGAGCACAACCTGAAAGACGAGCCCTTGCGATTTGTGCAATGCTGGGTGGTGCCAAGAAGGCTCGGCATCCGCTGTAGGGTTATGCACTAGGCCACTACCCATAGGCCCCTAAGTAGTTCCTTTTTGGGATTACCTTATAGGATTCTACATATACGCCATAAAATGGAACTACTTAGGGGCCTATGGGTACGCAGCCATTTACTGGCTTCGTGCAGCTGTTGCAAATGCTATGTTGGAATGGCTGGGCTGTCTAGTGCGGTCCAACACACTACTACTCACGGCACATGCGGTTTTGCGAGCGTGATCGTACTGCGCGCTCATCACTGTTGGCCAACCTGCTCGACCTTCTTATTCGATCGCTGATGACATCCCTCGGCGAACATATGCAGATGCAGTGCAGCAACGGTGGCATCTTTACATCGCAAGATCTGCCACACCAGCAGGTGTGGAGGATCTGCTTGGGGAATCATGTTGACAATTGGTAACGGTGAGATACGATCAGCGATGATGGGATAATCCAGGCTCCGGACGAATCCAGTTGCAGAAAGAACCCGCATCGCGTCAAGAACGTCATGGACGCACGGACGCGCCACAATAAAATGCTGAGCTATAGGACTGGTACTTGGTAGTATCACCTCTTAGCTTTCGCACTTTGGGGTTTAATTTTCGCGAGTCGGAAAATTCCTAGATAAACCCGCCTTCACAGGCGATAGCGCCTCATAGCACTTCCTAATCACGCCTCCTCATCAGGCGACGGGCACACTACCCTGCATAAGCCTGCCCCTTCACCGGGGGAGGGCAATTGATTTCATGTCGGTAACGCAACAGCAAAATTAGCGAACCTTCTGCAGGCTTTCACAGTCTCAGCGGCCTCGCAACAAACGAAGGCGGTTGATCACATTTAACAATGACGGTTAATCGAAGTTCTTTGACCCGCCCTCTCATTCAGCGACAACGGTTGATCAGATTTCCTCCCTCAGCAGGCGATGGTGGTTGATC